ATAGGAAATATCAGAATCATTCAGACTAATTTTGTGAACTGAATCAACCAATTCGTTGAAAAGACTGGAATCATTCGGACCTTTTTTTCAAACTGAATAAACCAATTATTTGAATAATTAAGGTCAGCTTTGTGAACTGAATCAAACAATTCATTGAAAAGTTTGGAATCATTCAGACCATTTAAAAAAAAAAACGGAATTGACCAATATTTTGAATTATTAAGATCAAGAATCAACTGATTGATTACAAATACTTGAATCATTTAGACTGATTTTATGAACTGGATCAACTGATTCACTTCAAGATCTGATTAATTTAGAGTGATTTTGTGAATCGAATCAACCAATTCGATAAAAAGTTTTGAATTATTCAGATCAGATTTGTGAACTGAATCAAACAATTCATTGGAAAAATTGGAATAATTCAGATTATTTTTGTGAACTGAATCAACCAATTAAATGAAAAGATTGAAATCATTCAGACCATTTTTTTCAAACTGAATTAACCAATTATTTGAATTATTAAGATCAGTTTTCTGAACCGGATCAACTGATTCACTTTAAGATCTGATTCAATCAGAGTTACATTGTGAACCAAATCAACCAATTCATTGAAAAGATTTGAATTATTCAGATCAGTTTTGAACTGAATCAAACAATTCATTGGAAAGATCTAAATTATGTACTGGTATGGAATTACATGAGGGTAAGCAAATTACAGAAATATAATTTTTAGATCAAGTATCCCTTTAATTCCTTCAAAAATGTTAATTCCTTACTTCCATCAAAGGAAGAACTAAAAAAGCACTTCATCTATTGATGATATTCATCTCCAAATATGGAATATTTAGCTTGTTTCTCAGACCCAATTAATTTCCAGCAAGTAGATATTCCCTAATGACAACGCATATGGCTAACTGTCTGGAGAAGGCTTCTATACTCCGTTTTGGCAGCTCTGAATAAAATCTACAGATGACAACAAAAGCATATGGAGTAAAGCAATGACAGGTACAAGAGAATTGATGGATGTGACATGGAACAGGGCCTGCTGTATGTGTGCATTCAAAAGAGATTGTTTATTTTTTGGAATGTCCTTTGAGGTGTCTTTGGCAGTGCTGCTGCAAGCTGATAAGCTCAAAACAACAAGCTTCTGACGATCGCAGTCGAAACGTACTTTACTGGCAGTGTGCTGAACGGATCATTAGCTCCCTACGAAGAAATTCTGACTCCCTTATATACGCCTGCCGACACAATAAACCAGCTGTTTTGAAGCAGCAGCTCAGTCTATTATATGTGGCGTAATATATGTCAATTTAATTTTTTCTCATTTGCTGTGTTTATTATCCTATTTGAATAAGTTTTACTGGCTCGGGCTTTTTAAAACCAATATCATGCTTATCAATTTAAAGAAGTGTACTTGCCAGAGAGGGAGAGTGTTTCATGTTTTCAGTAATTCAAAGTTTTAACGGTCATTGTGATGCCATTAAAAGACAGTGGCTATTTTTAAATACAAAAAATTGTGTTACGAATTACGAATTTACTATTTTGTTTCATGCTGCTAACTTGAATTAAAAGGTCAGTTCACCCAAAGATGAAAATTATCCCATAATTTACTCACCCTCAAGCCATCCTTCATCTTTCTTTCAGCCAAACCCAATCAGAGTTATATTAACCCTTTAAGCGCCATAGTCGCAAAATTGCGACAATACGTCATACTTAATAAAACAGGCTGTAGATCCTAATATGGTGTAATATCTAATTTGTATTCCCTACCACTAGATGGCAGACATGTAATACTTCGATTCAAGATCAAAATGACGTCATGTTCCTATTCAAAGTGTTGGAGGAAACAGCAGAGCAAGTGAGCGATCGTGTCATTGATGCGGAAGCAGTTCAGTTCAGAGCGTCTGAGTAAATTGTGATATTTGTGAGAGAAAATCGTCAAATGGCTAATAAAACCTTGTACTGTGAGGATGTGTTGCAAATGTTATTCGCCGATTCTGACTCTGAAGGGGAATATTTGCCTTCTGTAAATGACGATCGGCCGTCTAATGATCGCGCTTCTCCCGGTACATCTTTGCCGTGCAATGGTGCCGCCCGCGCCTCTCCCGTTACAACTTTGCCGCGCGCGCTACTCCTGGTACATCTTTGACGCGCAATGGTGCCGCGCGCGCTTCTCTCTGTACATCTTTGACGCGCAATGGTGCCGCGTGCTTCTCCCGGTAGATCTTTGAAGCGCAATGGTGCCGCGCGCGCTTCTCGCGGTACATCTTTGCCGTGCAAGGCGAGTGTTCACGAAGCACAAACAGATCATTTTGACCATTTACCCAACGGGGATAGGGGTGGCAGGGGTGGACGTGATCTTTTCCTGAATATTACTGATGAACTGATCAAAAATTAGGCTACTGTTCACATGTGTTTTACTACTAATGTATTGTAATATAGTAATAATTTAGTACTTTCTCCTATTTTATTGTTGGTTTCCTCTTTTCCAAACATTTGGAATGAGGATAAAAAAGAAAATAAAAAAAGCATGTAAATAAATTCCAACATCAATTCAATATCTACTATTTCCTGAATATTACTGATGAACTGATCAAAAAGTAGGCTACTGTTCATATGCATTTTACTACTATATAGTATAGTAATACTTTAGTACTTTCTCCTGTTATTGTTGGTTTCCTCTTTTCTCATCATTTGGAATGAGGATAAAAAAAAATAAAACATGCAAATAAGTTCAAACATCAGTTCAATATCTACTATTTCCTGAATATTATGAAATTCAAGTGGGCCGCCCCCTTATGGCGTCATAATATGCAAATTAGATGAGTATATTTACACCCCACATAAACTTTCAGTCATCCCCAACATTTTTCTAATTTACAGTAGATCTCTATCTTTAAACCCTTTCAAGCCACAAGCTTTTGAAATGTTGATGTCAAAATCCAGCATTTCTTCAAAAAAAACCTTGGCGCCTAAAGAGTTAAAAAATACCCTGGCTCTTCCAAGCTTTATAATGGGAGTGAATGCTACCTTAGATTTTGAAGTCCAAAAAAGCACATCCATCCAACATAAAAGTAATCCATACAAATCCACAGGGTTACTCGATGCCTTCTGAAGCAATGCGATGTGTTTTTGTAAGAAAAATATCCATATTTACAACTTTATGAACAATAAACATTGGCTTCCGGTAACGGCTGTACATGAGTCGAGTTCCGGCGGAAGAGTGATCTCTAGACTCGCGTATTTATTTTTTAAAATTATTTTTGGGTAATTTTTAGGTGAACTAACCCTTTAAGCTTTATCGACAACACCTGCCGCACAAGGTTTCCACTTGTCGCACCTTTTCTTTAAAACAATGCACAAATCTGGCTTACATAAAAAGCACTTACAATGGAAGTGAATAGGGCCAATCCATAAACATTTAAAATACTCACTGTTTCAAAAGTATACATAAATAATATTTTAGGGCATTGTTTACTAACCTCTTCTGTATGCATCCAATTTTACCACTTTGTTGCCATGACAACTCAACACTAAAACCCTAACATGACTGTAAAAATGACAAGAACTACTTAATAGCTGACATAATACACAAGTTTTAACAAAATAATGAATTTACTGTGCTTTAATAAAACCATGAGCTGCACCGCCTCATACAGTAAATTCCTCTCGATTTTTGCTTTTTACAAATTAAACAAGGGACAAGTCAAAATTACTTTTTGCAGTAATCTACATTAAACCACAAATGCTGTTGTTAAAGCTTAACTTGTACTGAACCTGAAAAATTGGGTCGTACTACCAGCAAATATTCAAAAATGATTCAAAAAAAGAGATAGCTGTTACAATTTGAGAGGTTATGGCCAACTTAAAGTACCAGCTTTCAGAACTACGAGGAAAAGTATGTGTGTGTCTGTGTGTGGCGTCAGGCTCTGGAATAACCTGAGAGCCCAACTCAAGCAGTGCCCATTCATTTATCAGTTCAAATCCAAGTATAAACAAGTCATACTGTCTAAGTACAGGACGGAAGAATATCCTTAAATGTGGAAAGGGTGTTAATTGACGATTCTTCTTTTCTTGTCAAGTATTGTCCTCACTTGTCTTGGAATCATCAGAATGGTTGTGAGGTAATTTTGTTGATTGTATGGGCACTGGAAAAGTTCAACATAAATATGTATCAATTGTTTTCTTGATTGTAGTAAATGTAACTACTGCATAAATGTATAAAAGGGGGTAGGCGTCAATAAGCTTAAGCTTCTGCCTACTCCTTTTGAGCATCATATTCACGTTTTTATTTATTTTCTTACTTGTTCATTGCGCATGTATCCTTCTTTAGTTTGGCCTACTGTGATGACCTTTGTTACTATATAGAACTTTGTGGATCCTAATTGCTCAAATAAAAGTAAATCTCAATCTCAACCTGGAATATTCCTTTAACAAAAGACAAACATTGTCTCCAAATTCATGATCTTTCCAAATGTAAAGACACCAAAGTTACCAAAATAGTCCATACAACAGTTTTTTTTGTTGTTCTTTTTGGAGATTAACAACTAAACATTTTCTAGGTGACAAAATAACAGCATTTGTTTTTGGAGGGACATGAGGCAATATCCCTTTAAATAAACAAATGTGTGTGTTTAGTTTCACCACTCAGTTGTGATTTCCATGCTTGGAGAGTCTGATATTCAGCTTTATTTTTAGGTGGTAGAATGAAAAGGGGACCCAAAGAAAAGAAAACAATTGAAAACCGCTCAGGAGAGGAGAGAAGTACCCAATTTAGAGGCCTGGAGATGAATCTGGCCTGTCAGCCACTGACAAAAGGTGATGGATTAGGAGTTAAGTCCTCTGAAAGCACTCTGGCAAGCAGGATACTCCTGAGGCCTCCTACGAGTCCAGCGGTTCTGAGAATGAACATGTGCAATGACACCAGAACCTTGACATCACCAGATCCATCTCTGCCCTCCGAGTCAATAGTGATGGGAGCCAAAATAGGTTCTCACCTCTCACGACGACCCTCCGTGAGCCGGAACAGATGATTGGCACCTCCGTCGGCACATGCCCGGATCTTGGCTGAAACGGCAAAAAAAAGTAACAGGAGGTGCTTAGATGAATCCTTGATCGCCTTCATTACAACTCAGATCTCGGAGCAAAAATGAGTGAAGAGGTAAATATCATTGAAATCACATTATACGGCTATACGTTGGAAGCCATTTCAGAGCCCATCTCGGTAACTGCTGACATGCCGAAATGAAAACAAATAGATTATTCTAGATCATGGCCATCATGACAGTAATGGCTCCCTTGTGCCTTTTCGCGAAAGCACTAATCATTTCAGGATGAAGGTCAGTCTGTCCTGTCAGGATCATCATCGATTCTGATAAGCATGGTGAGACTTGTCATTTTCAAAGTTAGGCCAGTGGGAAGCTAAATCCAGTTATACATACCACTGGTTTTGACAAGGGATATGACAGCCACATCTACATAGTGAATCTTGATCTACACTGTGTAATACTTCATATAATGATGTCTTTAGGTATTACCTTTGATGAAAAACAGATATGAAAAAATATATAAATAAACATGAAAATATACAAGTTTTGTATTATAAATCTGACTTAATCTGATTTCCATTGTAGGCCTATATATTCATTTATAATGCATTATAACAACTAAATATATATTTATTTAATAGAAACATTTATTTAATAAATTATTGAATATTTTTTAAATTATTGAATATATATATATATATATATATATATATATATATTCAGTATATATACATAAATAATATTTGTATAATTTTAATATCTTATAATATTATATACATTTAATATAATAAATGTATAAAAACATAATTGGTATATTTATTACATACAAAAAAAATAAAAAAAAATAATAACATCCTAAAATTATGAAATATACTGCACAAAAAAGTGCATAAAGCATATTCATATGGTGTATATATATATATATTTAGCAATACATTTTAGATTTAGTATTATTATAATAAAAAATATATAAAAATCATAATAACTATTAATAAAATTATGAAAAGACGTATTTTGACAACCTTTACAAAGCACTATATAAACAGGCTTCACATGAAGTGTTACCTGAGATTCGGTTTCAGTTTGTGAATTCAGTACAGGCTAACAAATCTTGGAAAGATGTCGCAGCATTTGCTCAGTTGGTTTAAAAAAAAAAAACATCTAAAAGTGACATTAAAATGATAATCCTGCCGACTTTGAAGTCTGACACGAGCAGAAGTTCAGAAGAAGTGCTCTTGACTTTTTGTAGCTGATGAACTAAAGCACACAGATGTGGGATTCACTCTCTAGACAATAGCAAGAAGTAACAAATAGGAATGTAAAATTTTAACTGAATAAATTAGTTATTTTAAACCAGGTGCTTTGAGAGTGGCGGCTTTCCTTTGAAGACTTTTCTTCCTTCTTTTATCAAGTAGCTTGGCTATAAGCCTGCAATCCTCTTATTTAAAACAACACAAACCCAACGGTACTGCATTTAAAAACAAACAACGGAGACTTTTATGTTTTGTTTTGTTTTTCTCACATAAGTTCCATGAAAAAGGGAGGGAGCGTTTTCACGGTTGGATGAAACAAAGACGATATTCTGGGACAATCACTCAGATGTTATGCTTATGAGAGTGAGGAATTGTCACAAAGATCATGTCAAGAAGAACGTAATCTTGTCAGCACAGTTGGTTTATGACCAAGCGTTAAGGGAAGAGAATTGGATCACACGCCTCATGAATAATGGAATGCGTTTGTAAGACACTCCTGCAATCCTAATGGACACGATGACTTTGGGCATACTGTTAAAACAACTTCTTTCAGGTGAAAGCATGAGGAGAATCAAGGGAAATATTTTAACACCTGTACAGATTGGTGACACAGAAGGGGGTGGAAGCGCTTGAACAACACAAGAACATTCACTTTCAATTTACATGCCACCTTCAATGACTGAATAAGATTCTGCACTCCTGAAAACGTGATAATACACTTTATGAATGCTTGTAAGGGTCATCTTGCTCTGGGTGACATACAAATGACACTTTTGTTGTCATTGTTGTCTGTTCTCCCACTTGTCTAGACTTCTAAACAATGTCTTAGACTACATAACTCAATAAATCAAAGTTAACCTTGCATTTGTACTGCAGTATCTGCAGTTTAAAGGCTATTCTGTGGTCAATTACTGATTGACATAAGCTACCGAGAGTTTCCTATATCAACAGGGCATTCACTACACAAAAACAGGGCTGTCAATTAAGATCAATTAATCACAAGAGAAAGGTCATCAAATGATTATTCGTTCTAAGACGTTAAAAGTTTTTTGCATCAAATAAAAAAAAAAATCTCATCGTACCAAATTAATGGTACCCATCCATGCTGAATAAAGCCTCTAAATTAATTTAATGAATTAAGACATTGCATTATTGTGCGTAACATTATTTAAGTATTATTAATTAACTAAACTATTAAGTCTTGAATAAACAAAAAGTGTATATAGTCAGTGTATATAAAAGTTTATTGCTTTTTTATTTCCATATTCTTGAACATACATATCCATTTTTTTATTTGTGTTTTTAAGACTTGTATGTATGCCAAAAATCTTTGAGTTTGAGTTATTTGGGTCTCTTTCGCACTGATTAAGAAAAAAAGTGAGGTGATCGCGCTGGCGCAACCGCCGACCCCAGGGGGTTAAGTATTTTGTACATGTTGTGTGATTGCATTTTTTATTAAAATAATTTATTTTAGACTATTTAAAAGAGTGGTTTGTTAGTGCAAAATTATAAAATAATTCATCGAAAAGCAATAAAATAAAAATCTTTTTTTTTTTTTTTTACAATAGTTCACTCCTCTCTGATGACCCATGGACCCCTGCTTACACGATTACAATGCAAAATCATTTGCTCTTCATTTCTGAAATAATGCCTCATGATGATGCATCCAGGCCAGTAATTCATTAGTTCCCAGACTGCTAAATTGGTCCGGCAAAAACATCATTATTTGTTCATAGTGTGATTACACTGGCGTTTGCAATGCAGTCTCGGGAGGTGAATCAAAGAAGCTGTTCTGTAAAGATCCCATCAAAGTAAACAGCATGCAACATCTCTAACTGGAAAAAAACAGGGCGTAATTCAGTCTAGCCGTGAACTACATCTAGGAGCAAGACTTGAAAGCTCCGGGCTGAATGCAAATGACTCATTATTTCAACACCAGGCAAATCTATTAATATGAAGACTTCAATAAAATGAAGACTTAACCACATGCAGAGCACAAAAGGCAATAGTCTAACATTCATGGTCATGAATCTTGAGAATCGACGGCACTTACACTGCTGCTAGTTCTAAATGTGATGTGAATACCTAACCTGTGGTTTCAATCACAGCTGCAAGATCTTGTGAGCTGCTTCGTCCAAGACTTTGAATTTAAGAATCATCATCTTTTAGCATGGCTCAAACAGGTAAGGAACATTGAATCAGTGAGTCATTACAATCAAAAAGAAGTTTACGGTGGGACCTCCAATAGTAAACAAGCAACCATTCTCACTTTTTGGTGAGGCAGCATTACGACGCACGGAGACGCTGGAGGGGGTAAATCATCTCTGAATGCTCTTTCACCGAAGCCCTGGTGCAGGACAGATAACCTTGTAAATAAACACTTCATAATCCACCAGCGGTGCTTCCTCTTCCTGTCATGAACTTTTGCTACTCGGTCTGTTTTATGGGGGACAAATATTGATGAGGCAGACTTTGCTGTCGCTGATTTAATGTCTTTTGGCAGTGGAAGTGAAGTGAAGCCTGTGGCCTCTGTAAATCAAAGAGGGCCGAGTGGTCAACGAGCAAAATGGAGGGTTTGCCTTTTAAGCTGGTTTCTTTATCCTCAAAAGAGTTCAGAGAAAGAGAATGGGTACACAGCTTTTAATTTAAGTCTATCATTTTGTATTTCCTTTTGAAGCAGAATACATATTTTTAATAGCCTTTTTCACAGGCATACATCATTTGATTCTTGCTGTCTGTTGCAGCATTGGTATTTCTCATTCTAGAGAGCTTCTGATTGGACAAAAATCAGTGGAGTACAAGATGAGTCATCAATATTTTAGCTCCATTTTCCTGGAAGAGAAAAACTGTGTAAATGTGTAAATTACTGTCCAAAGGTTTGGGGAAGGTAAGCTTTTAAAATGGTTTTAAAAGAAGACTCTTGCTCACCAAGGCTGCGTTTATTTGATCGAAAATACAGTACAAATATTGTGAAATATTACAGTTGAAAATGACTTTGATGTCAAAGCTGAACTTTCAGTAGCCATTACTCCAGTCTTCTTCAGAAATCAAAGAAACATGCAGTTTGTTGTGCTGCTTAATAGATTTGTGGAAACGTGATACATATTTTTTAAGATTACTTGACGAACATAGACGGACTCAAAGCTATAACAGACATGGCATAAAAGCCAAAAAACGTTGCCACAAATTCATTATCAAGCCCATCAAGTGATCCAAACTCACAATCCGTCCATTGACCAAAACGCTCATAAAGATTTAAATAAAAAGCTCTGCCAATCCTCTATCGCTGTATTGCAAAACAAACCATCAAAAAAATCAGGCTATGACACACAGGCTATGACACACAGGTTTCACACTTTTCAATACAGAGGGAAGGATAATAATGATTTCACATACCACAATATGTGGAAAAAGGTTCTGGACAGGAGAGAGAAATGGTGTGTCTGATTTTTGTTGCACTGTCAATTCTTCAACACACCAAGCTTTTATCAAAACAGGACGTTTGAAGCATTTCCTTCAATAAACACCAGTGTTAGAGGAAGGTGGAGAGGAACAGCTTACAGGAGATGACTAAGGCTTCCACAAATCCGATTTGGTTTTCATATTCAACCTTTAAGACTGACTGTCAATACTGTCAATTTTGCAAGTGATGAAACTTGTTTTTGACAGCGTAGTCAATGTCAGGTGTGATGAATATCACTGATGATGTAAGCAGAATGACAAGAGACTTTCTCGTACAACAACTAAGAGTGGAAGTTTTGCCATT